GCCCTTTCTCAGTCAAAACCCTAATTTTGACCATTTTGCCCTTTTGATGATTTGATCAAATTTCTTGAGGAATTATGGTCCAAACTTGATCAAATGATACATATGAGTCTAGAATATTGATGTGGATAAAAAATTATGAAGTTTGACTGTAAATTGGCCATGGTTGACTTTTTCCCCAATACAGTTGTTTTTTAGGTCAACTGTCTAATTGACTGATCAAAAATATGATTCAAGGCTTGAAACTTGTCATGAGTAATATTAGGGGTTCATAATGATCCTTGAAAGTCATGTGAAGTCTTGATAGTCCACCAATCCTTGTGCAAACTCAAACCCTAATTTTGGGTAATTAGTGTAAGATGAGATGTCTTGAGCTGATCAAACCCTAATCCGGTCTTGAGTCAAAGAGATCTTGTGAGAAAATCTTGATAAATGAGAGGGAAAATTTTGGGGTACAACAACTATCAATCTGGCGAAGAATACAATATCACATAGAATAAACAAGTACATCGAGATGAGGTTCCATTATCTTCGTGAGCAGGTAGCAGATGGAAAGATGAACTTGGAACACTGTAGAATTGAGAATCAGATTGTAGGCATCATGACAAAGGGTGTGAAGGTCAAAGTATTCATAATACTAAGACTTATCATAAATATAGATAGCTTAGATATAATGAATTAGGTGGTGTGTTGGGATTGTAATTCTTTTCTCAAAGGAGGTTGCTCGACAAAAGGAAGGTTGTGTCAAAATAGTCTAGCCTAGCGTGTGCCAAAATGTCAAAGGAGTAGCCTTAACATGTATTTTGAATTAGGTCTAATTTTGTAGTTTTAGCAAAATTAGGTATTTTGGGCTTTTGTATTTGGGGCTTTAGCTTAGGGAGCAAACTAGGTCAATTATAAATAGAGGAAGTAACTCATATTTTGTAATCACTAAGAACTTATATTCATATGATTTTGCAGTGGCAAAATGAATAAGATTTTTCCTAGTTTGTGGGCAGAGAGAAACTCTGCAGAAAATCATCATTTTCTTCCATATTTTGTCAAACCCTAATTTTCTTTCTTTCATTGTTATCGTATATTGATAATAATATTGTTCATCAATATTGATAGAAATTCTCCATAGGTTTTGGTGAATTTCCAACAATTTCCTCTCGTTTTGTTGCATTTGAATGACTCTCTTAAAAATATTGTGTGTGATACGTGTTAGTTGAATGGATCAACCGAAGAGAGAGAATTTGGGTCATGCGGCCCAAGACACAAATCAGGCGACCCGAGGTGATGTCCGCCCTTACTTATTTTTCCTCTCAAGTTTTTTCCCTCTTCAGACTCCAACTTCTTGTAAGACCAATAAATGATCTCATTCCAAATATTAATAATAAGTTTGATGATAATTCATATGATTATAGATATATTATTGAGCCAGGATTTTGGTCATGTTAGTAAATCATAATAATGCCTCAACAATATCAAAGTTTCCTTAAATCAAATATTACTAATTATATAATTAATATGGATAATAATGTAGAAAAAAACAGTGTTACAAAATTAATTAAATACATATTCTTTTATTAGAATTTATCATCAATATAAATTGTTATTTGATAAAATACTCATTTTTATCCCTTAACTATACTTTTGGGTTCACATTGATCCTTTAACTTTTTTTTGTCATTTTGGTCTCTTAATTTTCAAAAATGTTCTTTAAGTTTTTTTTGTCTAATTAACGATGAAAAAACTTTGAAATCCATCGTTAAATCCGTCGCTAATTAGACAAAAAAGAATAAAATGAAACGTTTTAAAAATTAAAGGATTAAAATGACACGAAAAAAAGTTAAAAGACCAATATGAACTCAAATGTATAGTTAAAAGATCAAAATAAATATTTTACTTTATTATTTTAATACATTCTATTCGTGGATAAACATATTCTCACTCAAAATGACATATCTTTTCAACAAATAACTATCATGATTACTTAAAAAAAATCCTTTATTATCATGAAAGATTAAAAAAATAATGAAAAGTTAAAATAAAATCCCCCTTTAATATTGTGAAAGGTTAAAAGTTTTCCTTTTAATATTATGTTTCCTCTTAGTATTATGTATCCGAAAAGCAAAAACAACATACTTATATATACATGAGACATATTAAATAAGAATTTATTTATTTTTAAATGGTTTTTAGAATTTCAAAAATTCTACACATTATTTTATTGTTTTTAGGAGAGTAGGAATTATATATACTACAAAGAGGTCAAATCATATCATGAATTTTATAAACTATAAAGAGATCAAGTCATATTGTGCATCTTATTTGAAAAGATAAATAGTATGGCTAGACTATTCAAGTTTGTTTATGTTATGAATCTCTTACTTTTCTTATCTTTTGTTGTCGTAAAGGGTGGTGGCGGTAAGTATTTTTCAAATTTTTTCTTTACTTCATAGTTCATAAAAAATTAATATGTTATAGTAACATTATCTTATTATGTTTTTTCATTACAGAAAATTATAAATGTAAAACTGATGGCGATTGTCCACATTCACTGCACAAGTTTTATTTATACAAGTGCGTTGCTATGAAATGTCTAAAGGTGCAGAATTGGTTTTAGATACATAATTATTAATGATGGTTTCGTCATTATCCTAGGACCCAATATCATATTATTTTATCATATAATAAAATGAAGCAAGATGAGAATTTGAACAAGTTTGTTACTTGTGGTTCTCTCATGCATTCTTATATTTTTACTTATGTTATAAAATTTTTTTAATTAATATAATTCTATTTATTTTATTTAATTATATCTATTTTTTTAAAATTAATTCGAAAAACTCAATAATCACTCAAGTGTTTATAAATAGAGTACTCAAAAGACACATTGGAGATTGGAGTAACACACGTTAGTACAACAAAGTAACAAACAAAGGGATGCATTTTATTCTCCTTCTCGACTCCCTTTTTCTCATCTAAGAAAATGTAGAACAAAACATCTTCTTTGGATCTTTCTTTCTCACACAATCATACAAACCTAAAACAAAAAAATTCATACAACCAACATGAAATCAATCAAGCAAAATGCAGAGTACCTGAAACAAAAACAGCGGAGCGGAGAGTTCCGACGCACACACAGGGAAGTGGACGAACTCACGAAGTGGTGACCGGCAAAATCAGCGGCGAATGGGCATCCACGACAAATAGACCTGGTGTGTGTGCGCCGACGACAATGGCGGTATGCAAAGGAGCTTCACAGTGTCAACGGGTTGCGATTTTCCAATTCGAGCCTTCTCTTTTCGTTCTTCCTATTCATTTGCTTTTGTTTTCGATTAGAGATCTTTGCCTTTGTTGTATTTTTGGTGTTACTGGAAATTATTTACGGGTTGGTGTTTTGGTTTATAGCTATTGGTGATGATATTTGGTATGTTTGGTTTGTGAAAAAAACAAGTTTGATGGAAGTTTAAAGCCTACGATGTATGTTTCATATTGAGCACTAGTGAAGAAATGACTTTTTACATCGGGTGAAACTGACTTTTTACATCGGTTCTGGGTCCGATATAAAGTCAGGCGATATAGTAAATCAGGTACTTTTTACATCAGTTCTGGGACCGATGTAAAAAGTCCCTTTTTTACATCGGTTATAATATAAGAATGATGTAAGAAACAGTTATTACAATATTTAAAAAAAATGATGTAATTTTTTACATCAGTTGGACGTAATACCCGATGTAAAAAGTCCCTTTTTTACATCGGCTATAATATTAGAACCGATGTAAGAAACAGTTATTATGCACATTTTTTAAAAAAATTGATCCATTTTTTTACATCGGTTGGAAGTAATACCCGATGTAAAAAGTCCCTAGTGACGCAACTTTTTACATCGGTTATTACTCCCAACCGATGTAAAAAGTCCCTTTTTAAAAGTTTTTACATCAGTTTTGAGTAATAACCGATGTAAAATGTATGAAATTTTTTTGGAATAAATTATTTATTTTCTGGATGTTTCCCTGTACAAATATAATTTGTACCCATTTTTTCATATTTTTCCAATATCACACAGACTATATTTATGTCGATATATATATTTCATAGCTTTCCAATATCACATATACCACATCTAGGTCGATGTTTTCATATTTTTCACAACAAACTTACAAATTGAACAATTGTATTGCAAACTAGTATTGTATTGTAAACTTTAACATTGCTCAAATGCAACCACTTGGTTCATTCTGGAATTTCATATTTTGAGTGGAAGACACTGAATTATAAATTTTCTAACATGAAACTAATTTATGATTAAGTACAATAGTGTGGATGATAATCACAAGTCAGGCCAATACAAAGGTAGGTGATTTATCCTTTAACAGTAAAGAGAGTAGAGATGCAGGATGTGGATTTGTGTTCATGAGGTAGAGTTTCCCATAACTTTATGAAGGTAGGATCCTTTGAGAACACATCCTTGGTTAGTATCCCTTTATCAGTCCAATTTTTAATATCATGCTCAAGATTGAGAACCCTTTCCTTAACATCTTCAAATGGTTTATTCTTACTAATCCAGCTGCAAAGCTCCTCCACCTCAGCCCAAAAGGTGGATTCTGTGATATCCTCTTTTGACAACCTATTAGCATGTTCCAACCATCTCTGAGTATACTTATACCTCTTTGGCCTAGCCTTGTTCATGTAAGGACCTGTGTCCTCATTCTTCAAATGATCGTAATAATTGGCAATATCTAGAGGCTCAACAAGACGACGGAACCAAGTTCCGAGTTTAATCCATTCTTTTTTTACTTCAAACACGTCTGGCAGTTCATACCTCTTGAGCATTTCAATGATCTCATCCCATACTCCTGCGAGCACGAGCCTATTCACGTTTGCTTGGAAATCCTTTCCCTCCTTTTGCACCTTGAAGGCATCATAATAACCTTTTCCTTTGTTTATCTCACATGTTGCTCTATACTCTTCCAAATACCTCATGCTTGGCATAGCCTTCTCTTGAATCTCCTTTTTTATTTTCTCCTCATTTCTTTCCTTTTTTTTTCTAACTCACCAGCTGCTCTAAGGCACAGCCGCGCTCTTACGCTCTGAGATCAGTTTCAGCAAAAACAAATCATCTCGCACACAATCATATATCAGCTAGCCAAAATACTTAATCTAACTTTATGTTCGAAATATAAGATCCGTTATATTGAAAGACATATCTAGTGAGATCATGTTATTGTAAGAGAGAAAAAATTACTGACCAGTCCAAGGCTATCCAAGGCGGTTGCAACATCGGTATTAGGAGCATCACCAGAAGACAAAGGAAGGTCATCAAGTTTGTTTAAGTACACCACATTTTGCATTGCCAAACTTTCCTCAAATTCAGCTTCATAGACTAGATGTTGCAGTATGCTTTTGTTGGCAACTTCAGAAAGCTATGTTGAATCTTTTAATTGAGCAATGTGAAACATGAGTTGTAAAACTGCCTCTGAGTTATTTACCACAATCAACTGGCCATTACCATTGTAGAAAATGTAAGTTCCAAAGGTTCTATAAGGGCTTAACTCAACAAAATTTGTCATAGTCTCCAGCAACAAATTCGTGCTTCCCATTAGATTACAAGCAACGTGCCTTGTAACAGTTGTTGCATTCATCATCACTATGGAGTAAAATTCACAACACATACTATCTCTTATTGAATCCTGAGATTCGAAGTTGTCGTTGTCAGGAGTCAAAAGTTGAAGAACAGGACTAAAAATTTTTTCAATACTAGAAAAAGGAGCAAGAAAAATCCTCGGCACTATGTCATATCTCATGACAAAGTGTATGAAGCGACGAGACCAGTTTTGTCTGTTTGAAGCATGAGAGAATATATGATTCCCAACCAAAGGAGAACCAAAAGTGACACACATGGGTGGCTTAAGCTGAGTTTGGTTAAGATTCTCTTCCAAGGCCCAAAATGTTACAAGAATGGCCAAAACAGCCCCTGAAGAATGACCTGTAAACACTACTTGCTTCCCTTCTGCCATACCTTTCTTCACCTACAATGCAACACAAAAATTTCACATCAAATTAGATAGCTAGTTCAACAACAATTTCATTTCATTGTAGCGAGTAGTACCTTACCTCAGATATAATCGAGGAGAATTTGAATAATCGGTCGAATCTGTTTAAGAAAGTTTGGTTTACCAAAGCAGTTTCATCATTACCAACACTTTTAAGTAAAGGGAAGTGAGCAAGATCTATTTTAGTTTCTCCAAAAGGTTTTGTAACAAACCAGTCAGTTTGAACCCATGATCCAGGAAACCTTATGACAACAAACTTATAAATTGAACAATTGTATACTCCATAAAGGACTCAACATGAACCTGACATATTAACACTACTATTGCTATGCCATCAGAAAGCTCTCTTGATCTTGATAGCTTGTCAAAAAATGAAAAATCAAAATTTTAACCTTTATAGTGTAGCCAAATAGTTGCAATTAAATGTGTCGGTGTGTGTGATAACGATGCAACGTTAAAATTCAGCTTATCATTTCTTCCAAGCAGTGACTTTGACATGCCGAGGATCCTAATCTTCCATATGTTACACATAACTCAAACGCTACCAAAGTTATCAATCGCTGATCATGGAAAGGAGTTGTTTGATCCAAATCCGCCACACTATAATAGCGCCGCTAATTGACAGACAACACTTTATACTAAAAAGTGATTATTTCAATAAAAAGTGATTTTTGTTCTTAAAAGAACATTGGACAAAAAATGACAATATCACTATCACAATCACAATATAATATACATATACAATTGGATAAACTTCAAGCTTTTTCACAATGCCAATGCATAATCATCAAACTCAACAAATAAACCAAACCTACTCATTCAAATTGAGAAATTCATACTAAACGAATAAAAAGCTTCATAGGAAAAATAACCAAAAATACCTGCAATATGGAGAGTGGAATCAATCCATTCATACTATTACCATGATCCTTCTCTATAACATTCATCTCCTCATCTTCAGGAATAGCATCCAGAATAGCATGCCTAGGAACCCTCCTCCTCGGACTCATCGAAATCGTCTTACTCAAAATCACAGGCACACCAGAACAACACCCCGCAACATAAACCTCAACTGACGGAGCCGAAACCCCAAGCTTCGGCCGAAAAAACGCCGAGGAACCCGACCCAATCGACCCCGCTGCCACATGACAATCCATTTCCCAACCCGACCCATTCCCCCCATCAGTATCCAACCGTTCCAACGACCCACAAATAAACAACACATCCTTCTCATACACCTCAAACTCAGTCCCACCGGTGATCCTCACATTATCCGTGCTGACGTATGTAACCTCCGCAGACTCCTTGTCGACACGGTCACGGCGGAGAGGAAGCGGCGGCGCGGAGTCAACTGCAGGAATCGGTGAACCGTTGATCACAAGAGAGAAACCGATTTCGCGTTTCGGGTGACATATGGTTAGACATTCGGGAGCGCTGTTGATTACACAAGGTGAAATTCGAACATAGAAGAGACGAACTTCGAGCCACGATCTGTGACTCTTTATCGGTTAAAAGCTTAACAAATTTTCGCTTTTCGCAATCGATTCTTCGTTTTGATCCATATAACAAGGACTTCAAATTTCGAATTTTGATTTTACCCTTTTGGGTTTTGATGGAATTGGGAACGACCCGGGTAGAGAAAAGCGAAATTTGAAGGGAAAAAACGAATTTGGGTGAAGAAAAAGAAGGTTTTTTAACCGTTTAACTGAAAAGGTGAAAGGAAATAGAGAAAGAAATAGGGTCTTGGGATGGCTTAATTAAAAATAGGAAATGGGGAATTCTATTGTTGGAAGAGGTCAACTCAAAAAGGTGAGATTGAGAAGAAAGGATGAATGACAGAAGGGTGGTTTGTACAGTGGAAACATTATTACATCGGTGGAAGCTATTATCCGATGTAGGGGTTTGGAACCTATTACATCGGTGGAACCTACTACCCGATGTAAGGGTGTGAGCCTAAGCAGTTTTTTACATCGGTTATTTGGTGGACCGATGCAAGCGTCTTTTTATTAGTTTTTTACATCGGTTTAAAATAAGCCCCGATGTAATTTTTTTAATATATTTTATATATTAACAATCTGCCTGTGAACCTATTACATCGGTTTTTAGTTAACCGATGTAATATCTTGCTTGTTTTTTATTTACATTTCTGCCACCTTGTTTCTTATTTACAAAAATGCCACCGTATTTTTTTCTGAAAACCTTTTACATCGGTGGATGAGATTGCCCGATGTAATAGGTAGCGAAATATATATTTTTTCTTATTTTTTATATCATTGCAAATAAACACCTGATGTAAAAAGTTTGTTAATTGTATTTTTTACATCATATATTTTGATACCCGATGTAAAAACCTTTTCTCAAATGTCTTTTTTTTAGTAGTGGAGATTCCATTTCATGTCTTGAAGAACTTTACCAACAGGTCCTTGCCAAGGCTTTAGCTCACTACTTTGAGGCAAAGTTGCTTCTGTTCGATGTAACTAACTTTTCTTTGAAGGTGAGTGGGAAAAATTTTGGTGTCCTTTAAAGCTTTCTCAGGTTGGTTATGTGCATAATGGTTGGTTTGTCGTATTTGTAGATTCAAGTAAATATGGCTCTTCCAACAATGAAACTGCAAGCTTTTCCTATTTAATCGTGTATTGCTTTTCATTCTAAACATTCTATATGTACGTTGTTCTTTCTTGACCTAACATTCTGGCTACCAGTGTTCTTTTTCCATTGTTTCTATTTGTGGTTTTTCAAAAGATCTACTTCAGACACAACTTTGGCTCGGTTATCTGACCTATTTGGTTCATTTTCAATATTTCCACCAAGAGAAGAGAATAAAGGTACAAATCGATGAGCATTTTCTACTAGGTGGGGCGAAATTTAATACTTCATAATAAAAAGGATTTTAAGGTTTGGGATAATGACAATGATATATTTTGTTAGTATAAATTATGTGAACAACCTTTTTCTTTGAATAGTTTTGCATGATAGTAAATATGTGTGATATAAGTATTAATGAATATTTAATATGCTTAATATATATGTGTGCATAATATGACAATAGTGTAACATGTTCAAAAAGAGTCAAAAATGTGTTTTACACATGAATCAAAATTTGAGGTCGATACAAAAGGTTTTGCATCAACACATACTTAAGCAAATAATCACAAAAACAATTCTACTTCAGTATGAGTCAACCCATCCATACTTTGCATCGATACATGTCAAGTTCATGCTCCTGGAAAACTTTTTAAAACCTTTATGCATCGACACATGAACTCTTGCGTCGATACATATCACGTTTTGTTTTCAGAAATCAAAAATCAACTAAGTATATATTGACACATATGCGTTATGTATCGACTCATTAAATGAATGGTTATGGATTCAGTGTGGAAAACATGTTGTATCGACACATAAGGACTTGCATCGACTCATACATATTTGATCTCTTTGTAATATGTCTTGCCATCAGTATGTATTGATACATAACAGATTGTATCGACTCATCTCACATTTTACAACTAACATGAGTCGACTCATGTTAAACATGCATCGACTCATGTTAAACATGCATCGACTCATACTGCAGTTTTTGCCTTTAACAGTTTTCTGTTACATATATAAGTCAGTTTTTGAAGCAAAACAAGTATAGGGTGTCACAAATACAGTTGGTGTGCATCAAATTTATGAGCATTAAAAACCTGAAAGACACTTCATCTTCATCATCTTCTAAATCATCTTGGTTCAACAACAACAAAAGATAAACATCTTTGTTCATTGGATCAAGAGATCATAAAGATAACGTTCAGCGGTACGATCAGTGATCTAAGTTTAGTTGAAGATTCAGAAGGGGGTTTCGAGGAAAAACCAGAGGGTTTGTCCTTCAAGAACGGGCGTGTTCTTGCGGGTTTGTTAGTCACGATTGCACAAGTCAGATTCGATCGTAGCGAGGGGTTTGGAAATCGGGGTGATTTCGCAAATAGGTCATGGAAGCGTAGGATTGATTGTGGATCTTATAGGGAATCTTGATAAGCTCATATCAAGTGAAGATTCTTACAAGAAGAAGAAGATCTTAGTGATTATGTTTTGTCTTTGTATTGTAACCTTGTAAACAACATTCAACAAATTGATATAACAATTCTCAATTTCAATTTTAGAATTGAGAGGGAGACGTACCCACACGCGAGGATGATAATGGGGAACTTTCTTACCAAACTTCCCATGTATTATTTTTCTTTCTCTCTTTCTCTTTACGTTTTCTGCAATTTTGTGATTCAATTGGTTTGCTGGTTTTTCTGTTTAATGATACAATAGTGGTACAAACTCTTTTGCTAAAACCAGAATTATTATTGATCATCGAACAAGCATACACCAATTGTTCGACAAAATTGCATGCAAGTTTTTGTTCATTGGAAATAGAGTTCTTCTGATAATTTCATTGAAACGTACATCAATCTGTGTTTAATTTTCATCTATTTCATCTTAATAAAATCTAGAAAGTTTATCGTATGTTCGGTTTTCTAGTAGTTGGTTCAAAATAGACAGAAATTGATTCGGGACCGTGTTTTTCCGCTGTTTTTAATAAAAATTGATAAAAGATTTTAAATCCTTGATAAATAAGGAGGTGATCTATTCACCCCCCCCCCCCCCACCGCCCCTCTCGATCACTTTCCACATCGTCTAACAAGTGGTATCAGAGTGCCGGTTCACTGGTGCTTTGTGTCTACTAGTAACGCTATGGCTTTTTTGAACCAAATGGGGTGTATAATAGAGCTCTTATTTTCTATGGGGAAAACTATGGCTACTAGAAAGACTGCATGCGAGTACATATAAATTCAATTGACATGAATGTATGGACTACCATTCAAAATGGTCCTTTTCAAATTACCATGAGGAATGATGCAGGTGCAATAGTACCTAAACCTGAGGATCAATGGAATGAAACAGATGAAAAGAAGTGGTCGAGCGATTAGAGAGGCTGAAATATGATAATCTCAGCACTTGGTGTTAATGAGTATTATCGGATGTCTCATTGCACGGCTGATAAAGAAATGTGGCATGCTTTAGAAGTTTCCCATGAGGGAACTACTGAAGTTAAACAATCCCGCATTAACACACTCAATTAAGTGTTCGAGCTCTTTCGCATTAAACAAGGAGAATCTGTCTCTGACATGCAAAGGAGATTCGTTTATCTTATAATTCATTTGAATGCACTTGGAAAACCTATTTCCAATGAAATTTCTACTAAAAAAATTCTGATATGTCTTAGCAGGTGTTGTACCCCAAAATTTTTCCTCCCATTTTTCATAGAAAACACAATCCCAGGGTTTATTCAAATATTCAAGATTGGCTCAGGAATCGATCAGACATATTTTCTCCTGTGGCAGTAAATCAGGAATTAGGGTTTTTCTCGCATTTCTCAGAAGAAATTGAATTCTCATAAAGTCAATTGGCTGTCACATATTTTCATGCTCTCTCAAATTTATTGGGAAAAGGCAGTGTTTGTTTGATCCAGGTTAACCAGTTAATTTGCGTCTTTTAAAACATCCGCTTGTTTATGGAATAAACATTTGCCTGTTTATTGGAATACACAATGCGTGTTTTGATTGGAATACAGTTACAAGATTACAGAGTTTTTGGATTACTTGGAGTTTAAATTATCTGGATTGGAATTATTGGAATGCAGTTTCAGTTATTTTAATTAGGAATCTTAAAGAATCAGTGAAGACACAAAGAGAGAATTACAAGTTACTAACAGTAATGGATTTTTATTGGATATCAGAATACCTGATAAGACTTCTTTTTCATTTATTTCAAAAATTGTTACAATACAATTTATTATTTAAATGCTTTATGTTTTACAACTTATTGTATTTGAAAAATGAATTAGTACAATTGTTTGAGTATTTCTCTCTAAGTTACAAAGAAAAGTCTAAGCCTAAGGATGACTAAGCTTCTATTGCTTCCAAGCTCGCCAAAGAATTTCTTGCTTCCTCTCTTTGCCACCATCCAGTTTGCGCTCACATGAAAAACAAAAGACAGAAAATTAATTAGCACAGTTAATTGGATAATAAGCAAGAATTTTCAAAAAAAAGAAAGAAAAATGTTCATCATTAAAGATTGTCGTTTGGAATCAGAGGTCTATTTTCAATTCATCACGTTTTTATTTTTCTCTTTGCAAATAACAAGAAGATTACTCTTCTTGGTTCACAAAAAGAAAAATAAAAATGCGAGTTGTCCAATTAAAAAGTGTAAAGCAAATTTGTCCAAATGCAACAAGGCAAGTTGTCTAAGCAAAGCATTACAAGCAAGCAAAACAAAGTACAATGCAGTAACTAGACAGCAGCAGGCGCGCAAATTACAAGCAAGCCAAACAAAGCCAAACTGAACAAGGAAAACTGAACAAGGCCAAACAATGGCAACTAAACAAAACAATGCAGCATAGCAGTAAGGATGTAACAGTACAAACTGAACAAAGTACAAACAAACAGCAGGCAAAGAAGAAAGCAGTATGGTAAACCAAACAACAAGCAAAACTTGTTTCAATAGCCTTTTTTTTCATCACTTTCCAGATTGTTGGCAAACTTCTCAGGAAAAACAGAGAAAAAGCAATTTGCTTTTATCATTGAGAGAGGAGAGAGAGAATAGATATCACCTATTTTGTTGGAACTGCACAAAAAGTACAACTTGGCCATCCTTCCCACAAAACTGTCACAAGTTACATAAAGTAAGTTGTAAAACAAAAGCAACTAGGATATAACACCATAAACTGTAAGAAGAAGGGAGAACATTTTTCAAACTGTGAAACCTGTTAAACCATAACCAACAGCAACAATAAAAAAACCTGCAGAACTATGTTCAAACAGGGATAACCAAGAAAAACAGTTTCCAAATCCTGTAACTCAGCTCAAACAACCCAACTTGTTAACAAAAATCAGAAAACCAAAACTGTTAACAAAGTCAAAAAGCAGTTTCAGGACCTACAAACTGTCAAAACATCCCCCAACAGATCAAAAGCTTGCAAATTGTCAACAAAAACATTCAAAAGAAAGATTCAAGCTTGTAACTCAAAGTCCAACATACTCAAGCTGTCAAATATCCCCAAACTGCAAAAACAGTTTTCAAACTCACAAAAACATCCAAACCTGTATCTCAGTCCCAAACACCAACAAAAACTTATAAACTGTCAAAAGCATTCAAAACCTGTATCTCATTTCAACAACAAAAACATAACAATTTCCAAACATTCAAACTGTAACCAAAACGAAGTCAGAAGGGAAACACCATCATCATTCAAGTTTAAGAGAGAGGAAAGAAATAACAAAGTCAGAAGTATAACATCATCATCATTAAAGTTCAAGGGATAGAAAAGTCACCGGAAAAAATCACGCCATCATTTCCTCCCTCCCTGTTTCGGGCCTCCAAGGAGCACCATCAGCTCAAATCTTGCATTCCTCTCCATTTTCCATAAAAATTCCAAAGGTATGTTTCTCCTCAAAACCTTTCCTGCATCACAATGAATATCAAACTTGATTAACATAAAAGAAACATGAACAAGATTAACAAAAAAACAGAAATCGTGCAACATTTAAATCCAACAGAACATCACCTTCTTTTTTCATGAGAGAAATTATTTGAGCGTGGTTAGGAAGAGAATGAGGGATGCTTCGGTGACCGGGTTTGGAGAGAGAAGATCAGTTTAAGCGTTAATCGAGTGTTTTAGTTTTAAACAGGAGCTCAGGATTTCCAGAAAGCAGGGACGATTAGGGACTTTGAGTGAGGAAGATGAACGAGATAAAGGAGTGAGGGAGACGAAACAGAGCGGCGCCGCTGTGAGGGGAATCACAAACCCTAA